GCGGTGTAGGTGGAAGTTTTGTCAGGACTGTGGCTTTAAAATAAATGAACAGACTTAATTATAAATGCTTGGTTGTTAGTTCAGGCTTGTTACTAGCTTTTCTTACATTTTAAATTAACTCGTATTTCTCATCTGCCCTCTGCCACGCGGCAGTATCGTCTTTCAATATGGCATGTCCATCTGGTTTCTTTCTGCATCTGCTCTCAACTCCCCTGACTCTGCCCTTCTTTCCAGTGCCCTCTGGCTCTCTCGCCTAACCTTATCCTGTCCAGATACTGGCCACTCAGCTTCTTTACTAAACCAATCGCAGTGACGTATATTCATACAGTGTACAGGAATATTCAATATGATAGTCATACTGTAATTCTATCATGAGGAGGTAGGGACAGGTAGATCCCTGAGACTTGCTGGTTACTTGCCTAGTCCACTCGGTGAGTTCTAGGCCAAAGAGAGCTCCTACCTCAAAAGACAAAACAAACAAAACCAAGTTATACAGTGCCTGAGGAATGATGCCCAAGACTGACCCTCTGTCCCCTACTCATATCTGCACACATAAGTGCATTCATACATATGTACACACACACACACACACACACACACACACACACACTGTTGTTTTTTACTCTGTGGTTCTTTTTAGCTTTTTTTTTTTTTTGAGGGCCCACCACCCAGCTCCCAACTAAATCACTCATGGAGGCTTATTATTTTTTAGGATTTATTTATTTATTATGTATACAGAGTTCTGCCTGCATGTATCCCTGCAGGCCAGAAGAGGGCACCAGATCTCATTACAGATGGTTGTGAGCCACCATGTGGTTGCTGAGAATTGAACTCAGGACCTCTGGAAGAGCAGCCAGTGCTCTTAACCTCTGAGATATCTCTCCAGCCCAAGGAGACTTATTCTTAGTTATGAGTGCCTGGCCTCAGCTTAGCTTGTTTCTAGCCAGTTTTTCTTATCTTTAATTTATTCTATCTACCTTTTGTCCTGTTCTCGTCTGTAAGTCTTACTCTTACTCCATGGACTGCTGTGTAGCTGGGTGACTGGGTGACTGGCCCCTGACATCCTCCTCTCCTTGTTCTCTTGTTCCTCTCCTTCCTCCTTTCTCCTACTATTTATTCTCTCTGCCAGCCCCACCTATTCTTCTTCCTGCCTCACTATTGGACGTTCAGCTCTTTATTAAACCATCAGGTGTTTTGGACAAGCAAAGAATCACAGCTTTACAGAGTTAAACAAATGGAGCATAAACAAAAGTCACACACCTTAAAATAATATTTCCCAGTACACACACACACACACACCTCTCTCTCTCTCTCTCTCTCTCTCTCTCTCTCTCTCACACACACACACACACACACACACACACATACACGCACACACACACACCTAGCAAGTTTGACTTCTGAGGCTTCCTTTCCAGACTTGTACATGGACCCTTCTCAGTTTGTATGCACAGGGCCATTGCTCCTTGCAATTACTGGTACCTATTAAGTGAATTGGAATAGGGCTCCTCTCATTTTGACCTCACTTTAACTTATCTCTTTCAAGGCTTATCTACAAATATAGTCTGGTTTATGAAGCCCCAGTGCTTAGGGCATCCACATTCTATGTTGGTGGGGGCACAGTTCAGACTGTAACTGAACAGCTGGAATGAGAGGTTTGATAGGGCCACACCGCAGAGGATGTGAAATCAGGCTCAGGGGATTGGTGTGGCCTGGACTCTATCATTGGGTTCCGCAGTTGAGCAGGAGAAATGTCTTCCAAAACTTTTAGTTATTTTTGTTTGTTTAATCATTTATTCGTGTGTAGGAGTGTTTCCCTCTATCTTCTTTCATATGTTGGGGGTTCAGTTCGGGGTCACTCACTTGACCTGGAGCACACCATTTCAGCTAGACTGGCTAGCAAGGAGCCCCCAGGATTGACCTGCCTTTGTCGCCTTTACTGGGGTTATAGACTTGTATATCATGCACCTATCTTTGACATGACTGCTGGGGACCAGCACCTTATACTGGTGCAGGAAGCACTATACCCATCAAATCATCCACACATCCTCTCTAGTTGCTATTATTATTATTTTCAAAATTAAATTTTCAGTGTGTGTGTGTGTGCGCGTGCGTGCGTGCGTGAGTGTGGGCATGTGTGTGCAACGGTGTGTGTATAAAGATCAGGAGACAGTTTTTGAGAGTCTGTTCTTTCTTTAACATGTAGGTCCTGAGATTGAATTCATATCCTTAGGCTTGACAGCAATGCCCTTTTTACCTGCTGAGTCATTTCCTGAGCCCCCAGGGATGGTAGTGAGAAAGAGTATAGAGGGGGTGGATAGGGACCACTTTGGAGAAGAGCTATTCGAACTTTCCTATAGTGAAATGAAGGTGAAAAAGCATCAAATCTTTTTTTTAAAAGTTGTATTTCTTCTATTTTTCTTTTTCTCCCTCAATATGTTTTTATTTAAATTAGAAACATATTTCACATGTCAATCCTAGCTCCCTCTCCCACCCCTCCTCCCTTGTCCCCCCACCAGTTCCCCCAGCCCCCCACCAAATCCCCACATCATTCCCCAGGGAGGGTGAGACCCTCCTTGGGGGATCTCTAAAGTCTGTCATTTCATCCTGGGCAGAACTTAGGCCCTTCCCCATTTGTCCAGGCTGAGAGAGCATCCCTCTATTTGGAATGGGCTCCCAAAGCTCATTCATTAACCATGGTGAACACTGATCTACTACCCAAGGCTCCAGTGATTTCTGTGGCCTCCTCCCTGGCACTACATTCATGGAGTCTGGACAGTCTCCTGTTGGTCTCCCAGCCATCAGTCTGGGATTCAAGAGCTCCCCCTTATCCGGTCAGCTGTCTTTGTAGATTTCATCATCATGGTCTTGATCCCTTTGAAAAAGGATCAAATCTTTTAGTCGTTTAGGAATTTCTGGAAACGTGGTGTGTGTGTGTGTGTGTGTGTGTGTGTGTGTGTGTGTGTGTGTGTGTGTGTGTGTGGGTGTGTGTGATGAATGCATTTGGATGGACTGCTGCGTATATGCCCATCCGAGGTCAGAGTATGACCTAGGTGTCTTCCTTTCGATGTCTGTCAGAATGCCATCTGTCGGTTTCTTGGTGAATCAGAACCTAGCAATTCTGCTAGGCTGGCTAGCCAGTGTGTTCTTGGGATGTGCCTGTCTTTGCCTCCCGATGCCAGGGCAACAGACACGTGCAGCTACACCTGACTGTTTACATGTGTGCTGTGGATTTTGACCTGGGTCTTTGTACTTGCAAAACAAGCACTCTCAGCAGGCCAGTCCATCTTTGCAGGTCACAAAGAGAGGTGTTTGATGGGTGTACAGTGCAAAGAGGGAAAATAAGTTTGACTTCCTTCCTTCCCTTTTTCCTTCCTTCCTTTCCTCCTTCCCTCTTTCCACTTGTGTATGCCTGTATGTACATATTTGTGTGTGCATGCACATTTGTATGAGGTGTGCATGTGTGTGCATATGGAAACTTGAGGATAGCCTTGGGTATACCCTCAGTTACTGTTCATCTTTGTGTGTCTCTGTGTGTAGTGTGCACATGCATGCATGTGTGTTCTCATGTGTGTACTGCTGCACTTGACATTTCAGTACATGTGCTTGCTCTAGGGATTGAACTCAGGTCTTCGTGTCTTTGCTGGTCGAGTTGTCTCCCATAGGTTTCGGTTTTGAACTACCAATCATACTTGTGGAAGCATGGGATTGGAACATAGATGTAAGGCCAGCACCGCAACCTGGTGACCTTACTTAGGTCAGAGTTGAGCTTCTGGGACTGGGTGATGTTGTTTATAAAGTTCAGAAAGAATGATATCAGAAAGTCTCAGGTCTGACCCACACCTTTAATCTCAGCAGTTGGGAGGCAGAAGCAGGTGGATCTCTTTCTGTGAGTTTGAAGCCAGCCTAGAATACATAGTGAGTTCCAGGTCATAGTGAGTACCTCAGATAAGCAAACAAACAAAAAAAATACAAAATAAAACAAAACAGAAGTCTCAGGAGTCAAAGTGCTTTGTGGTCTCTTAGGCATGGAAGGAAGAAGGAAGGTTTTGCAGTCAGTGGGAAATGGCACTTCCCGCTTCTTTTTTAAACCTCACCTGGATTCCCAGCACATCCTACCACTTGCCCCGAGTTACACAGCAGTTCGCCTGTGTCTGTCTCTGCTGTGAATGTAAGCTCCATGAAGGCACAGAAGTTCAGTATTGTCCAGCACACCACCCGGAAGAGTGTCTACAGCACTGTGTGTTCCTTAAGTATTTACTGAATGAATCTACAAATAGGTGAGATTTTGTGACTGATAGACTATAGAATGGTTCAAATTGGCTATATTCCAGATATTGCCCTTTATTTTCTGTTGAAGTTTCTTTTCTTTAGCAAATGCTATTTGATAAGTGAATACTGGCACAAGTCAAAAAGGCTCCACCTGAACAATTAATTTTGTTTCTGCTTGAGTTTCCCCCCACTTGTGCCTTCCCCTGACAAAGATTACCTTGTAGGAAACCAGATGTGACTCTGGCTAAAACATACAGGCATTTTTGCAATCTGGATACTCCTAGATTATCTGTTTGCATCTACATTTGTTGTTATTTATTGAGTTTTGGTTGCTGTTTCTGCTAGATCTCGTTCCCCTTTACCTGCTGTATTTGTACTTAGACTCTTATCTCGTTGTAGCTGTGGGTGCCAGCACTCCATTCACGTATAACAAGTGTGTCTGCCACTGTTGTCCACATGTGTCTTCAATAGTGATGCTGCTATGGAATGGTGCCATGGAGTCGCAATGAAATACAGCCTTAGGTTGGCTAGGCTGTTAAACCAACTCTGTTAAGGAACCATCCAGGTACATTTGAGCCTACTCTGAGTTTTCTTATCATAGCACATCTCTTCTGTCTCAGCAGTCTGATTGGTATAAAAGGCACTGGAATTGCTGGATAAAGGAATTTAAATGAGGGTCCTCTCCGGGGAAGTGTTTCAGGAACCACAGACCAGTGTGAAGACCATACTAGGCACAGAGCTCCATTTAATAAGTCATACCCATCTGGAAACCTGGGGGAAATGGCCAAGAGTCACTGATCAAGGATGCTGAGACTTTGCACACATAAAACTAAAACCAAAGCAAACCAGAGATGGTAAGCACCTTTGTGTGTGCCCTTTGCTCTTCCTGCAGCCCATTTTTTGTTCACCCTCACCCCCACCCTGTTTGTTGGACCGTCTCTGGAACTCTGCGCTGCAAAGGATGATGTCGGTTGACAGAGATGTCATCTTGTCGGTAGCAGGGCAAGCCTATAAAATCAAGAGTGAGGTTTAGGACCTGGCATTTGACACGCTGGCCAGAAACAGGAAGGCTGGAAGGATGCTGAGAGGAGAACTGATTTGCCGACTCTCATAGCTAATGGGTACATCTTCAGGAACTGTTCATTCTACGCTTTCTGGTATACTAGTTTAGCAGTACAACACTTTAAATGACATACAGCTCCTTCCTGACCAGTTTAGTGGCATAAATGTGACAGTGCCTGGGGCAGGGGTGTTGGTGAGTCTGCTATGCAGACACAAGGTATGACTAACAGGTCTTTTTGTCCTGTGTGTAACCTATTCCTCCTTTTCCAGTTGACACAGATGTAGAGAGTTTACTCACAGCTCATAATAATGTAAAGGAATGATAAGGGAATTAACATTTGCTCAGTTTCTAGAGTACGTCTAGTACAGTGTATGCATTGTACGTTATCTCATGTGACGTTAACAGTTTGATTTAAATACTAGCTTTTCTCAATTTTTAGGATCATAAACTGATACTGAGAGATTAAGGAAGGGGCCGAAGGTCACACAGCCGGAAATTGCTAGAATTGGGTTGCAGGCTTTACAGTCGTATCACAGTATCTTTAAGCGACTTTGCTTGAATTTTTTTTTCCCCATCATGGACCAAGTAGAGATATTTGAGGTTTTGAGGGCCACGGAAGAAGATGGAGGATATTATGTAGGCACTAAGACAGGCACTTTAAATGAATGATTAAAAAATGCAAAAACTATTCTTAGGTAGCCAATTGCACAAAGGGTTGAGTTTGGCTTAGAGCCTGTGGCCCCCAGTTTCTGACTTAAGGTATACAGAAAGTGCAAAAGCAGTCCGTGGGGGGAGGGTAGGTAATTAAATCTATTAAATTCACATATCTCTCGATATCAGACTGTTCAGATTTTGTTGTTGTTATCAGGGTTACATTGGTCCCATCCATAACTAGCTGTATTTTTATCTTCTCACATGAGCTGTGGTTGGCATGATCTTGTTTGCTGCCACTTTAGTTTCTGACCATTGACTTTATTGATTTTACTTCAGTCTTTGACCAGTCTTCCAGTCATTACTAGAGATAATGTAAATAACCTAACAGCATTTAGTGTATGGTGGACTTTCAGTAGCTAGTAGCATTAACATTATCAGTGTGGGGTCTGGAGAGATGGCTCAGAGGTTTAGAGCACTGGCTGGTCTTCCAGAGGTCCTGAGTTCAATTCCCGGAATCCACGTGGTGGCTCACAACCATCTGTGATGAGATCTGGTGCCCTCTTCTGGCAGGCAGAGCACTGTATACATAATAAATAAATAAATGTTTAAAAACAAAACAAAACAAAAAACCCAAAAACATTATCATTGTGCCAAAGTATAGATTATACTTTGCGGCTATCATTTTAATTATTTCATTAATTAATAGTGATGCCTGTGTTGTACATGCCATAGGCTGGTTTCTTTTTCAGCTCTTAAACATTTTTATAATTGATGTTCTTATCTGCCATACACTACTTCCTTATTTGTAGAAATTTGGAGTAAGTCTCTATAAAAAGCCGCAATGACAACAAACCCCTCCCTGTAACCAAACAGTTCAAGTTTTAGATTCTGAATTAAGGGTTGTACATTAAAGAATATCCTTAGAAAAAGTTCTGGAACTAAAATTCTGGCACATATGGCATTAATTTCTTTATATAATGAATGAGTGACAATGTGCATTACCCGTATTGAAAAGGAAAAGAGGTTAAAGATAGCACATGCCAGGGTCAGCAAAGAGGCTGAGCTGGTAAAAGTGGGTTCGAATCCCCAGTCCCATAACAAAGGGGGAGACCTGATTACTTCAAGCTGCTCTGTGTGTTCTGTGTATGTTTCCTGTGGAATGAACATGCCACTTCATAAATAAATATATATAATAAAAATATTTTTAAAAGAGATGGCTCCATCCGGAAGTTGGTGGCGCATGCCTTTAATCCCAGCACTTGGAAGGCAGAGGCAGGCAGATCTCTGTGAGTTCGAAGCCAGCCTGGTCTACAGAGCAAGTTCCAGAACAGCCTCCAAAACAATACAGAGAAACCCTGTCTTGAAAAACCAAAAAAAAAAACAAAAAAAAAAAAAAACAAAAAAAAACAAAAAACCAAACCAAAACAAAAAAAGATGGCTCCTGCTCTAAACCCAGCACTTGAGATACGGAGACACTAGGGCTGTAGCAAGTTTGAGTTTATCTCAGTCTACATAGTGAGTTACAGGGCAGCGTCGGTTACAGAGTGAGACCCTGTACATCACCCTGCTCCATTAAAGGAGACTTGGAGTGTGAAATTTGTTTTTTAAGATTTATTTTTTATTTTATGTGTATGTATGTATGTATGTATGTATGTATGTATGTATGTATGTGTGTGTACCACGTTTGTGCCTGGTGTCCTTGGAGTCCAGAAGAGCGTGTCAGATCCCTTGGAACTGGAGGTGGTTGAGCTTCCATGTGGGTTCTGAGAACTGAATGTCAGTCCTCTGCAAGAGCAGCAAGCACTTTAACCCGTGGGTCTTCTTTTGAGCCCTCAAATGTGAAAGTTTTGAAAAATAGAAATTGACATATAAATCGGTGCAATCAACATTTTTGTTTTTGAGATATTACTCTGTAGCTGAGGCTAGCCAAGATCTTACCATATAATCCAGGCTGATCTTATAACTCCAGGTCTTCTTGCCTCTGCTTCCTAGGCAGTAGAATTGTACGAAGCACCATTCTCTCAGAAAATTGTGTGTGTGTGTGTGTGTGTGTGTGTGTGTGTGTGTGTGTGTGTATTTCTGGACACTGAACCCAAGGCCTTTTTCATGCTAGGCAAGTGCTTTACCACTGAGTTACATTAGACCCCTGCCAACTTTTATGTTCTGATCCATTAAATCCATCGCTCTGTCTTGTACTTGAATGGCTCTTTTACCTATAGATGATTTTTGTAATGTCTTGCATTGTTCATCTGAAACATACAGTTAATTGAGTGATACAGATTTTTTAATGCTTTATCATGTTATAACAATGTATACATATGTTTCATTATTAAAAAACACATTTGTGAATAACATCACCACTGGCCTCATCACTAGTCTTTAAGACCGGGAGGCTGTCCAACTCAAGAAAGAGATCTGTCAGATAGTGCCTCAAAGTCTAAGTTTTCATCGAAAAATTTGAATTCTCTCATTGCCAACAAATACTGATAGCTGTCTTTTTGACACAGCAAATTTAATTTGTAATTAAAAAGAAATCTGAATATCCAGTTTGTCACTTACATGGAATTGGTTTTTGTGACAAACAGTGGCTCAGCTCACAGCCCAGTGCTTGATTAGAACAAATGGCAAGCAATACTGTTCACTTTGATGGACAAATACTCTTCTTATAGGCCATTGTAACTCAAGGTACAGCAGAAACATCTCAGTATGTCTCCTCTTTTGCCATACAGAAAATTAAAGTGATACATATTTCTGGGATCAGTATGAATAAAATTTAGACTCATTGTGATTTTATCTAGGACTTCCTTAAGTGAAACACATTTCCCCCCCAGCATTAAGTGTTGAGATTCAAAAGGTGAGTCTACATTTCAGCTGGGGCTTAGCGTCCTTTGCATTTGTAGTCAGATATTCATGTAAAATGCATAGCATGCACCGGGTAAATGCAAGCAAAATAGCAGATGCAGTCTGTAGACTTGGCCTTTCTCAGGCAGAAGAAGAATTCTTCAGACAAGATCTGTGTACTGTTTGATGAGCTGCTGTTTCATTTGAAAGTGACGGTGCTGTAAAATTTTCCCCCTTTCTGTCAGTCAACAAAATCAATGTCCAGATATTACTGACTTTTTGCCTGTTCTCTTCTTCAGCCAGCATAGTACAATAGCTCACCTTCTTAGATGTTAGCATTTCCATGTCAAATGTGAAATGCTATTCTAAATTATTTATGGTATTAAAAAAGTTCGTTACATTTACATTTAAAGATTCTGCTCCATTTTTAGAACTCTAAGTTATTGGTCTGATAATGATATTACAACATAACTGGTACCATAAAACTGTTCAAACTGTTCTGTTGCTAAAACACCATAAAGTAAATTATTAACATCTATAAAGCCAAGTGAAAGGATTTCTTGAGGCCACGTTGGGGTAGAGTTCTCCTTTCCACAAGTCACACAACTCTCTGATATATTATTTTTGCCTTTTCCAGTGTCCTTAAGATGCAGTCTATCTGAGCCTTGGAGACAGGTCTTCTAATCTCCCCTTTAAAACACAGCATCAGATCCTTGTTAGAAAAGTGAAAAGTGAGGATTTTAATCACCGTGACAACTTTACGTGTGTGTGTGTGTGTGTGTGTGTGTGTGTGTGTGTGTGTGTGTGTAATAGAACTAGAAAAAGGGCTCATGAGATTTAAAGGCAGAGAGAGGGTGATGGAATCAGAAGGGAGTATGCTCTAGGAAAAACCATTTAAGTATCTAGGCAGTGGAGGCAGGGGGCACATAGTATGTGTGTGTGGGCTGTTAGAATGGAGTATAATGACAGATATGTATAAAAATGGCAGCAGTGAAACCCATTGCTTTTATATGCTACCTTAAAAATTAATCATGAAAAGGCAATACCATTTAAGAGTCATTAGTTGGGCCTATTGTAACAATGAGAAAGAAGAACCAAGGGTGCCTGCAGGCTCACAGATTGAACTGGGCAGTCTGTTTATATTATAAGCCAGAAACAGGGGTGTTTGTACTAGTCACCTATGACCTTCTGGCAAAGGAGGGGTTGTATTGACACTAACCACGATGTGGTCCCTTCTTTACCAGTCACAACAGTCCTTCTTGTAGGCTACCAGTAGGGTATATGTCCTCAATCTGGCTTGCATGGAAATGGTTCCAAGAAAAGTCTGGTGCAAGCTGTTTGAGACAGTTCTGACCCGCACCTTTAGAAGCTGACTTGTGTTTTAATAGCAAATGACCGCAGCTAGCTCTGTGGAGTGTTTAAAGTGGTTTGACAGTCCTTTTCTCAAGGCTGCCTGAACACAGAGCAAAAGCCTAAAAGCTATCAACCAGGGAAAGGAATCCCTTCATTTCCCCATTTGTTTATTTCCAGAAAACAAGCAGAAGTGCCAACTCTAAGAACTCTAATTTCAGCTGTGCTTTTAACAATGCCTACCACCTGCCTGATGCCTTCTAGAACTGTGGCTTGCCCTGGTCAGTCTCACCATTTCAGCCTCTCCAGATTGGTGGATTCTGCCTTAGTAGGACAGTTTGTTTGTTTGTTTATTTATCTGATGATTGATTTTTTGAGACAGGGTTTCTCTGCATAGCTCTGTAGACCAGGCTGGTATGGAACTCATAGAGATCTGCCTGCCTCTGCCTCCCAGGTGCTGGGATTAAAGGCATGATGCACCATTGCCAGACACCTATTTATTTTTACTGTCCCCTTTGCCACTGTTTCTTCCTCTAGGTTGGGTCATCTTTCATGGGCCATGTCAATTAATTCTTACTGGCCACTGACTCCCTTAGTCTCATCTCCTTTAAAACTGTTTCCGGATTCATTTTGCCTGCTTAAAATTCCTCCACGTTTCTTCAGTGAGGGTCAAAGTCCCAGTATCTTCACCATCCCCCGGAGGTGCTTCCCTTAAAGTTACCTTTTACATTTAATGTTATCGTCTTCCCGTTGGCAGTCCTAAAAGGCACTAAATTCTTCCCCTGACTCCTGGCCTTAATTCTTTGCTGATGATTTTCCTGCAAACCCCTTAGGGCCGCATCCTTTAGGGCTCATCTCCAAGTCTCATTCTTTACACTTTCCCCTTGACCTCCTGTCTCCACAAGAAACTGCACTGAACTTTGTTATCACTCATGACGCGTAATCACAGTCAGTGTCTTTTAATATAACATGTTTACTTACCTTATTCCTACGGTTAAAATGTACTTGAAAGGATGCACTTAATCATTCATTCCTCCCAAATAAACTTTCCTTGTCGTTTTGCTAGATGGATTTGCTGTAATAGTTGTATAACCATTGAAGAAAGGTATTCAAGACAAACATCAAAATCCCTGTGTTTCTCAGACACAAGGTAAAGTGGTGCAGAATAAAACATCACACACACACACACACACACACACACACACACACACACACACACACACACACACACAAAATACGTGCATGTATACGTACTCATCATTTATATACCTGGCAAGGAAGACTTTAGTATTGAAGGAGACGAAGGGTGGACATTGCTTTTTATTCCAATACTGCACCTAAAAGTAATAGTAATGGCCCAGATATGAAGTTAGAAAAACTTAAAGCGCTCTGAAATGGAGGAGACCTGGCTCGAAAGAACGCGGGCAAACGCTTCCAGGTTGGAGGCGGCTAAGTGCTGGGAGGCACGGGAGGAGACTGAACTCTGAGGGCGGAGGGTTGCGTGCACGCACGGCTGGCTCGGTCTTCCCACTCCCGGAACCGGGCGGACCCGTTCCCGCAGCAGCCCGGGGCTCCCCGCAGGCATCCGGGGTTCGCAGCCCCTGCACACACGGTCTGTTGCGGGGCTCGGACACATGGGGGTGCGGCGGGCCGGCCGGGGAGACTTGGAGCTGCTGGCACGGGTTGGGGTCCGGGGCGCGGGTACTGGGTGCTCACCGGGGTTTCCAGGTGAGCCGCCGGAAAACAACCGGTTGGCCCGGGCAGGGCGGGGCGAGGGCGGAGGGCACATTGCCTCATCCCGGGCATTTTACTGGAAACTAGACGCATCCGGAGGCGGGGCGGGAGGCGGCCCAGGCGCCGCCAATGGCGGGCGGGCGGGGACCCGGGAGGGGGCGGAGGGGAAGGGGTGGGGGCTGTCGGCGATCGCGGCTCGTTAAATAGCACGGCCGCCTCGGGGCGCGCACGTACAAGCCGCCCTGCCACGGCCAGCCACGCAGCCCGCCGGTGGCGCAGGTGTCTAGGGACCCCGAGCGCCTAGCCTGGGAGCATGATCGTGGACAAGCTGCTGGACGACAGCCGCGGCGGAGAGGGGCTGCTGGACGCGGCCGGCGACTGTGGCCTCATGACCAGCCCGCTCAACCTGGCCTATTTCTACGGCGCCTCGCCGCCCTCCGCCCCCGGTGCCGGCGACGCGGGCTACCTGTCCGCCGTGCCCTCGGCGCCCGGCTCGCCCGGCTCCGACTCCTCTGACTTCTCCTCCACCTCCTCGGTGTCCTCCTGCGGGGCCGTGGAGTCCCGCCCGAGAGGCGGCGCCCGCGCCGAGCGCCCGCAAGGTACCCACCCGCGGGACTCGGCGTCCCTATTCGGGGTTCACACGCCTGGGAGGATGGGGCCGGGCTCCCCAGATAGGGGGCGCCTAGACTTTTAGCGGCCCCGGCGACTTCCTTAGCGGCGGGACAGACGCGGAGTGGTCATGAGTGACTGCTAAGATGCCTTGTCCTGTCCGGCGAGTTGGGGCTCCTGCTGGCCACAGTGCTGGCACCTGGGGAAAGAACTTGGGAGTCTCGATTTTCTTTTTCTCCCTTCTCATAACCCTTTACTTTTTCACTTCTCCCCCACCCTTGAACTTCACAACCTCTGATGAAGAGTTGTTGTAGTTTTCTTCTTGGAATTCTTTTAGCGAGAAGCAGCGGTGAAGAATAAAACTTTGGGAGCTGGGTTTAGAGCCACGTCTTATTCCTAATAAATTTATAGGAATGAATAAAAGAAAAAAAACATTTATCAAGATGTAAGGGAAAAGCTTGGAGTCGGAAAAGTGATTTGGATTCAGCGCTTAGTTTGTGACGTTGGAGTTTCAGAGGCCTGCTCAGAATTCTGCTGGCCTGTTTTTCTGTGTGCTTTAGAATGGAAAAGTTAAGCTAGCGAAGCCCGCTTTTTTTTTTTTTTTTTTTTTTTTTAGCGGCGAGTTGCTTGGTTTCCTTTCTTCATAAACCCAGTTGCATAATTTGGGGGAAAACAGGATGCCGCTGTGGGTAGATTTAAAGGCCGCCTAGATTATCTCAGCTTTGGAGCTTCTAATTGAAATTATTTTAAAGAATGACTCCTTGCTGTACCTTGCTCCTTGCTGCTGGCCACTCAAGCTTTGGTTGTCTTTTATTTTTAAAAAGTTACATTTAACTTAAAACGATGTGCCTTAAGCCACAGTGTCGCGTATAGCCTATCTGAAAAGTTGGATGTATATGCATTCCCAGCCTTTTCTGAGGTCCTTGGGCCCTTTGCCGACATTGACTGAACCGATTTTTTTTTTTTTTTTTTTTTTTTTTTGCTAGTTCTTGGTTTACCACACAAGCCACGGGGGATTCCTGAAACTGCATTTTTCTCCCTGTGACGTGAGCATGGGATTTTTAACTCTGTCACTCCGGAGGAATGCTGTTAGATTCTGACTATTTGGGTGCTTGTTGAAAACCCAGAACTTAAAACGGAAGACTATCTGATCATTTCACTTGCCCGGTCACTGAGATGTTTGTTTCATATACTCGTGATATAGATGGTCAAATTATGCTTTGTTCTCCATTTTATTTTCCCTATTTTGAATAGTGGACCAGCTATTCATTTTCTGACTTTGTGAATATTGTGCTCAATTACTATGTAAGAGCTTGTTACATAGTTGTGGCTGGGAATGGAACCTGAGCTCATAGTAAATTTTAAACTGCAGTCTGGAGTTTTAAGGTGAATATGCCTGTTTCCTTTTTACTTAGAATGCCCATGTACGTAATTCTAAGAGCAATAAGTGAGGGGGAAATCCTGTGTATGTGAAAATGTGCTCAGTGAACTCAAGCGGCTTTCTTGGCACAAATGAACTAAGGAAATACTGAGAAGTGTAAGGCAGTGTTAATTGTTAGGTTCTGGTTCCTTGAGGTCTTTAGAGGAAGTTTTGTTCCTTCTAAGGTGAATGAAGTGAAGGTACTTTATACTTTGTATATAAACATAAAAGACTTTGTTTTAAAAACTACAAATGCCTCATTTATACTCTGCTCCTCCAAGGATCTCTCAAAGTCAAGAATAATTATAAGTCTACAATCTTGGCAAAACCTCTGATTCTTTCTCATGAGTAAATAGTTCCAAGAGACAGAGAGGCTTAACTTGGGTATATCTGTCTTTTGGCTCCAAGGATCCTGGACCACATTTATGGCGCTTTAATTCCTTAGGGTGCCTGGTAGGAACATCTTATCAGTTACATCAACCCCTTGAGAAGTACTGGACACTGATGAGAGTCCATTGACCGAGATGGTGGAAAGGCATTACAGTCTGCTGTTTGAGGATTTTCTCCATGAGGCTGCAGTCTGGGGGTGGGGGGTGCTGCCATGATTCATGGCTGGAAGAAATGTAATGGAGATGTTTTCTTTTCAACAGTTGAGCCCCATATGGGGGTTGGCAGGCAGCAAAGAGGACCTTTCCAAGGCGTTCGAGTGAAGAACTCGGTGAAGGAGCTCCTGTTGCATATCCGAAGTCACAAGCAGAAGACTTCCAGCCTATCTGTGGATGAGTTTAAGGTGCCGTCTGCTTTTTATTTTGAGTGAGCGGGAGACTAGTCTGTCAGGGTTATTGTTTTTGCTAATGTAGGTCCAGTAAATCACATGCATTTTTTTTCATAAATGACCCGAGTTCATAGGACAGGATATATTTGTTTTGTTATGTCCTGCACTTGGCTCAGTGCTGGGCATGTGAGAGAAATTTAATGAGCCCTCAAGTGACAGTGATTTAGGGGCAAGGCAATTTACAGGGTTCAGTCAAAATGGAACATTTTCATTAGAGGGGAAGAATAAGAACATCTTAATTATTTCATCTTGCCAAGATTGACTAGGCTAGAAGTGAAAATGGAGAAGTTGAGAGAGAAAGACAGACAGCGGGAGAGGGAGAGAGAGAGAGAGAGAGATGGAGAGAGATGGAGAGAACGAGCACAAAGACAACTGTTCTGTCAGTATTTTTTGTCAGAGATTTATGGTGTGTTGTAGAGAGTGGGAGAGAGAAATCTGTACTAAGCGAGAAATCATTTCATATGTACTAACCTGGCATCTTTTCCCTTGTAGGCACAGAGCGTGAACATTGAGCACCTCACAGGTAAGAGCTGCTTCTGGCTGCTCATAACTTGGTTGCTGTCTTCCCAGTAGGGATATAGGTAGAATTTGTAAAGTGGAATGATCACAGGTTGCATATTCCTCTCTTTGGGAACAGAAGTGAAGAGCGCAGTGTCCGCCGTGGGGAAAAGAAAGGGGGCCGATCCTCTGTCTGATGGACCAGTTTGCAAAAGGCCGGCTCTGTTGTCTACGCATTTTGTGGTAAGCCTCTCACTGTTTTCCTCCGAACACTCTGTGGAGCCATAGTATTGCTGCTATTCAGAGAAGTTGGCGCTTGTGATTGAAGCCTAGCCATGGGCCCTACCACAGAGTCGACACTTGGCTCTTGGAATTCTTTTAAAGGAAGTGATTGTGAAAATTGTTTTTTCCTTCTCCCCAGACATCACCTCAAACGCCTACACCTGGGGAGAGCATGGAAGATGTTCGTCGAAATGAATCCAAACTGGATAGCAGTGCCGATCTGCTTCAGAACATTATAAACATCAAGAATGAGTGTAGCCCAGTTTCACTAAACACCGTCCAGGTTAGCTGGATGAGCCCTGCGGTACCACAGAACTCCCCCAGAGACCAGTGCCAGGATTTCCATGGAGGACCAGTCTTCTCTCCACCTCAGAAATACCAACCATTCCAAGCCAGTGGCTCTCCACAAATGATGGACCAGGCTTCTATGTACCAGTATTCTCCACAAACCCAGAACATGCAGCAACAGCAGCAGCAGCAGCAGCAGCAGCAGCAGCAGAACTATCCACACAGTCCGGCTCTGCAGTTCAGTTCTTACTCCAGAACATCTCAGTCTCCCAAGTACGAATCAAACCTCTTTGATAGTCAAGACCCACAGTTCTGCACGAGCCAGAGTTTTGTGTCTCTTCTGAGTGGCCACGGGGAACCTGAGAATATTGCCTCTCCCATTCAGGTTTCCCCCAGCATCCCGCAGCAAAACGAGACTCACCTGCAGAACTTCAGCCTGATGCCAAACAATGCCTGCGAGGCAGTTGGGGTGCATGATGCTGGCTCGCCCTCTTTGGGTACTTCCCTGTCCCTCCAGAGCATCATGGGAAGCCCAGTGAACACTACACAGTTAGGGAAGTCATTTTTTCAGTGGCAGGTAGAGCAGGAAGAAAGCAAACTGGCAAATATTTCTCAAGACCAGTTTCTCTATAAGGACTCAGACGGTGACACGTGAGTATCCTTTTATCTCATGTCTTTTCACAGTTGAACCTTATTGATTGACACAATGATAATTCATATTCCAAGAAAGGATGCTCCTTTTACATTTTTTCTTAAAAATATATTTACTTTCTATGAATAATAATCTGTTTTGAAGACTAATGTAGGTTAGTGGAAACAATTAGATCATGACTAGGCATCAGTTAGGAGTTGATCTATAGGTTGTCTTTAGAATTTTGGACAAGTAACTCACAATCTCCATACCTCTATTTTCTTTACATATAAAATACAAATGTTTCTGTCATAGAATTATGCATGAGTACTTATGCTCATTTGAGTCTTAAAAAATAACAGATTTTAAATGTTCAGCATTGCCTCTTATCTTTCCTCTGTTGCAACTCAGGTGAACTGCATGTCAGAAAAGTTGAATTCTTCTCTGTAACATTTCATTGGAGCTTATCAATATATCAGAAACAGGGTGAAGGAAAGTGTTTGTTTTCTTAGAACGACTTAATGAAGTCAGAAGCAATTCCTCTCTTTTCCTTGCCTCTTCTCCAGGTTTCTCCACATCGCTGTCGCCCAAGGGAGACGGGCACTCTCCTATGTTCTTGCAAGAAAGATGAACGCGCTTCACATGCTGGACGTTAAAGAGCACAATGGACAGGTGAGGAGAATGTCGACATGGCCCCCGTGACATGACTTTGTGCCAAAGTGAGGGATAGCCAGTCTCAGGTGCAGACTGTTTAAGAGCCCCAAATCGGGAGACTTCACGGTTAATATTAACTTTGAGATATTGCCACCGTCAACCTTGAAGTTATTAATGTTCTCTCTGTAGTTGTTTGGCCAAAGATTTCGTACAATTAAGCCGCACCCTAAGCTTATTTTCGTTTCCTTGTCTTGCTGTATTTGGCTGTTTATTAATAGGACTTCTTTACATGCCCCTCAGCCATCGCTTAGTTTCATATTCCTTGTTATGATAGCGTTATGGGTTTAAAAAGCATCTTTCTTCTCTAAATGTCCACAGAGTGCCTTTCAGGTGGCCGTAGCTGCCAATCAGCACCTCATTGTGCAAGATCTGGTGAACCTTGGTGCCCAGGTGAACACCACAGACTGCTGGGGAAGAACCCCTCTGCATGTCTGTGCAGAGAAGGGCCACTCCCAGGTGCTCCAGGTAAGAGGCCAGAAAGCCGGCTTCCATCATTGCATTGCCAAAGACACGAGGCTTGGATATAAGAAGCTGCATGTAGGCTGCTTGTTAAAATGATCTGTTTTGAGTTGATTTATTGATTTCTTAGCCCAATAACAGTAGGTGACTATTTGCGTACTTTGCCTTTGGATAACAGGCTTGTATCTTAAAAATTTGCAGGCAATCCAGAAGGGAGCAGTGAGGAGCAATCAGTTTGTGGATCTTGAGGCAACTAACTATGATGGTAAGCAGCTGTGACTTTATTGGATGGAGAACCACATGGGAAATGGGGCACAGGAATTCTAAGAGTATTCAGCATCATACTAAGAAAGAGAGGAGGGAAATAAAGCTGAATGCTTTCCAGGTAACACTGGCGTTTAAACTGCCTAGCTGTATGCAGACCACCACACTAGGTTTCATAGAGACCATTTAAGTGGAACAAGGGAGCGTCCTTAGGATAATTGTAGTGACCAGAAGACTTGATGGAGGGCTTGACTTCTCGTGACCCTTTCCTAGGCCTGACTCCCCTGCACTGTGCGGTCTTGGCTCATAACAGCGTGGTGCACGAACTTCAGAGGAATCAACAGCCCCATTCACCCGAAGTGCAGGACCTTTTACTGAAGAATAAGAGCCTGGTTGACACCATTAAGTGTCTGATTCAGATGGGAGCCGCAGTGGAGGCAAAGGTGACTTCCCGGTGGAGGGTGGGGCTGGGGGAGGGGTGTGTGTGGCTGGCCTGCAGGTGCAGATTGAAACTACTTCCTCACCCCACCCCCTTGCTTTTAAGTTGACGGAGTAAATAGCTTTGTATGTGTAGGTAAGAAGCTCAGCCTTCAAAAAAACCCTTTAATCCGATCTCTTGATTTCTTTTTAATCTGTGGGTTGTCCAGGCAAACAAAAAAATCATTTAGCTGTGAACTAAATTATTTTTGTTGAAAAGTTCAAAGAAGCTGGAAATTGATGTTACCTTGGCTTCTGTTTTTACATATTTACAGTAGAGATGGTACTTTGGGGAATGATTTTTTTTTTCCTTGTGGAATCTAGTATTTGCTTTTCTTTAAATTTTGATTTTTTAAAAATACTTTTGTTTGATTTTTGTTTTGTGTGCACATGTATATGGGTCCGTGTCGAGGTCAGAGGACGGCCCACGGGAGTTGGTTCTCTGTTTCCACTGTGAGCCCCAGATGCCCACCTGGGTCCCTGTGGGGCTTGCTGCTCCCCCTTATAGCTAGGTCTGTGTTCATGGCAGCCAACAAGTCTGGAAACACAGTAATACATAACCAGTGGACTTTGATGTGGCGCATAAGAAAGTGGCATTTTATATTTGTACGTCTTAATGGCTGCTCTGTGTTTGAGCAGAATGTGGTAAGAGTGACGTAGGTAAATTAACTGGGAATACAACAGGAATAACTTAGGGTTCAGGGAGACTGGCGAAGGAAACCTCTTGAAGTAGTCTTAAGCTGCTTTGGATGTCTGAGTGGATAAAAAGCATACTGCCTAAAGCATGGCGTCTGATTTTTCACTCTTCCCCTTCTTGCCTTCACAAGGATCGTAAAAGCGGCCGCACAGCCCTGCATTTGGCAGCAGAAGAAGCCAATCTGGAACTCATTCGCCTCTTTTTGGAGTTGCCCAGTTGCCTGTCTTTTGTGAATGCGAAGGTAGTTTTAGAAAGCATCGGGATGACCTTCCCACCTTCGAGGTTTTAAGTTTTCCCCCTTCCTGATGTGTGCCGTTTTGCTTGTTTTCAGGCTTACAATGGCAACACTGCTCTCCACGTTGCTGCCAGCCTGCAGTATCGGGTGACACAGTTGGATGCAGTCCGTCTGCTGATGAGGAAGGGAGCAGACCCGAGCACTCGGAACTTGGAGAATGAGCAGCCGGTGCATTTAGTTCCTGATGGCCCTGTGGGAGAACAGGTGAGGGCCGCAGAGGACGTGGACATTCCCTTAGGCCCTTTGGTCTGAGATCTACAGAGGGAGGAGGTGCAGGGCAGAGGCCAGCTGATGCTCTCAAGTAGGTTGTTCTAGTGTAGGATCTAATAAATGCTTAGTGCATATCGGTTTTTATAATTCTACCAACTGGTCCTCCATAAGAAATGGAAAAGAACCTAGAACATGTTAAAAGTATGCTGTGCTTATTACTTATGGCTATATTTTACCATTAGGGAGTGAATTAGTTTCACACGAGTAAACGGAACTTAATCTTTTGAGAAATTATATTTGATGGACACATTTTCCCTGAGGGACTCTGGGTGATCGATAGTTGTGGCTAGATGATTACATACATTATTAATTATAAATTAATTTATGCAGGTTGTCATCAGAACCAAAATGTTCTAGTAACTCTTGTCTGGGGAATCTCTTTGGAACTTGATAGTTTGTAGCGGTTTTCATTAAAAAAATATAAAAAATTTTCAATAAGGTTTAACAGAAAAAAATTTCGTACTTAGGACAGGGACCATAATTAGTTAGTAAGTGGCCGATCTCAAGCCCAGGACTTGCTGCTTTCCTGTGGTGTAGTCTCACAGAGCAGTGCTCTGAGGCGTTGCTGGACTGTGTGGCGCTTCCCTTAATGTTCTTGGAGTGTTGTCGTTGCTCCTTCTGTATTGTGTGTGCTGCCATGGAGAGGGCTTCCCCTTCCATTCATCGGTAGGCTGTGGCCACTGGACAGGTTTCCTTTTGGCAGCTATAAGCAGCCACCACAATCCTCTCATCTGAGTTACTGCTTCTAATCTCTTGTGGGCTGAGAGGAAGACGCCACAGTTGGTCCAACTGGAATATGAAATCAGTCGCTCCAGATGAGCGTGCTGTCTTTTCTTGGGAGCCATGGAATTACACACAGTTGCTTTAACATTTGGATAATCTGGCCACTGTTTTGACTCGGAAGCCATTGAGATGTGCTTGAGTGTGTGTAATGGGGACTTTGCACTCTTGTTACTGGAGCTGGCTTCAGGATAAGTGTGATAGTCTTAATATGCCACAATTACTGCCATGTAGTAGATCTTCTCACGGACACTAGTGATAAGGATTAGCAGAGAAAATGCGGACCTATTTCAGTTGCTGACTTTCAATTTTAATGGAAATGCTCTGTCTTGCATGCAACAGTCATTACAAGAAACTTGAAATAAAGCTGTAAATGTTGTCATTTTAAAACTCTTGGGGCTGGTGAATTGACTCAGCTATGCTTACAAACTAGGGACATTGTAGAGGGTTTATAAGAGGAGTGAAACTCTGGAGAAAGTAGCACACTTTAACTATTAGAAATAAACTTCCCAATTCATTTTTCTTCCAGATCCGACGTATCCTGAAGGGGAAGTCCATTCAGCAGCGAGCACCACCATACTAGCTCCCTTGGCTTGGAGCCTGGCCAGCAACACTCACTGTCAGTTAGGCAGTCCTGATGTATCTGTACATAGACCATTTGCCCTGTATTGGCAAATGTAAGTTGTTTCTATGAAACAAGCACATTTAGTTCACTATTATATAGTGGATTATATTAAAAGAAAAGAAGACAAATATTTAATTTTCTTGGCAGATTTGCATATTTTATACCCAGGTATCTGGGATCTATACATCTGAACTTGATCTGAATGGTAAAATTGCCTTCAATAAATAGTAGGCTTGGGGTAGGAAAAGACTCATGGGAAAAGACTTGATTTGTGGCATAAAGCATTGCTCATGTGGCTATTGCCAGATTCAAATTAGGTGGAAAAGAAACATGAAAGCTTTTGAAAGGGAACAAAAAAAATTGGACGTCCTGTTGATACGTCTTTGGTCTGATGCAGGGTCTGTTGGTTAATACTCTCTCACTCTTGCACTAGAGGAGAGAGGCCTCTGGTTAGCATGTGGTCTTTGAAGCTGTATATAATTGTTATTTTTTACCTTTAAAATGTTGTACATATGTGATTGTTAACATGGACATTTGAAACATGCAAATCCATAAAACAGACAAGAGCATACTCAAAGCAACTTCTATTGTGTGATCACCCAACTGTAGTTTTCACAGATGAAGCACATGAGAGTGGGTTCCAAAGTTGCTATGTTTGCTTTGCAAATGGGCTTCTCATGCATTGGAAAGAGATACACTTGTAGGTTATTGTATGTTCTTGAAGAGACCCTTTTTATGAATCACCTCTTAGAATTCGTGATTTATGTAAGTTGTTGAAGTTCTTGTTTGTCCTTAATAGAAATTACGAAAATTCAGCACTGAAGCAGAGCTTGTTTTCTGTTTTCAAATAGTAATAATGTGTTGTGATGTTTATACTATTCATACAAATGTTTTATTTTTTAGTAATGTTAATTCTTTAACATTATTTTGCTTACATTTGATATACCTGGGAAGAATATATTAGCTTTGATTCCTTTTTGATAAATATGACCCTTTAAAATGATGTCTTTTAATTGACTGTCTTTGTAGCTAAGTACTCATGTTCTTATTAAAAGAATGGCCTTTGAATTGGATTGTTCATATTGTTTGATTCATCATATCTAATGGGTAGAAATTTGATTCCGTCACTTGGCATCTCTATTGTATGAACTCAGTCCACCCACTGACAAAACTCATGCATAGTTTTAAATGAATATTAATAAACTCATGTTGTCTTATAATATGCATTTCCTTAGTGTCTTTATGTGTGTGTGTTGGTTGAAAAGTACTATTTTTTCCACTACTAAAGATTGACTCTAGGGCCTTGTGCATGCTAGGCAAGCTTTGCAACAACTATATTCCCAGCCCAGAGAAAGTATTATTAATGGCAAACACTATATTTTTGAATTACTTTTTGTTTGTTTTTTTTAAAGACCATGTTTCCTGAAGTTATATGCCTTTTAACTTCAAGAATGGCTTGCTATGTTCATGAGAAAAAGTTTAAGTTCGGAAAACACGGAGTTTAATAATAGAAACTGTTGGTTACTCAGAAATATATATATGATAAAAAGGCCAAGAGATCAGAGAACAGTGTGGGTCAACCTGGGAGGGATGTCAATCTCAGAACAGTGTCAGGTGGGAGTACTTCCCTTTCTCAATATTACAGTTGCCACACATGTATCCTAGTCTTGAGCACCTGATGAAAGCCGTGAGTTCTGTTCTTGGAAATGTCTGTAAGCGTGTGTTGCACAAAACTGCCCTCCAGTCCAACCTGCTGCCGTCTTCACAGTTCAGCTATGCCTGTTTGTGATAAAGATCTTCACAGCTGATCTTATTGACTATGAGGCAAAGATGTAAGAGGTGTGATAGGTATCCGTTAGCAGTGGCACACACCTTTCATCCTAGCAATGGGAAGCAGAGGTAGTTGGATCTCTGAGTTTGATACCAGCCTGGTCTACAAAACTCAGGTCCAGGACAGCCAGAGCTACATAGTAAGATCCTGTTTCAAGCAAAACAAAAAAGGAATGGCATGCACTTTATTGGGTACACTAGTTGAAATACCCTTAAAAACAAACCAAAAGGGGACAGTAGGAGAGATTCCAAAGAGAACTTTACATTTGGGAGGCTTCAAGGTAGGATATCTGGGCTAGATATGAGAATTGGTCTCATTGCTCACAAAGGGGGGAAGAAAGTGAAGAAATAGAAAGCAGTGCAAAATCCAGGCACAGTATTTTGTGGAAACAGTAGGTGATTTCAGTGTGGGTTGGTATATGCCAGTGGTGGTCAGAACCACTGGTTATCGGAGGAGGTATACTGTAAACATGGGTTCACTACTAATGAATCAATGTCTAGTGTCTTTAGCTATAGAATTTTGCATCAATCATCAGTAAGGATAGGAGTGTATTGGACTATTAAAAATTATTTTGCTCATCCATATGTTCCTTGTTGTGAACAACAGTAGTTTGGGTAGACTACAGAATCTCCACAAGTCCAGCTTTGTTGTTGGTCAGATCAGTGGCATTTAATGTCAGAAGTGAGAGGACTTTTTCAAATTCTTCTAGTTTTAGAAAATACCAACTTCTTAAACATAACATCTATGGCTTCCATTTTCTATATTCACTAATACTCACTATGCTCTATTAGTGAACAGAGTATTGTAAATTTCTTTAAATTGAAAGTGACATCAGGGAGACATTAACTTCAGGCCCTAGCAAAGTTCTTAGGTTACAGAACAAGGTTTGAGCTTTATTAGAACTGTGCTGCTGGTGTCAGGGTTTTCATGCTAGAGCCCTGACTTAGTCACTGAGAGAAGGGAAGGCTATCTTATCATTAGAGGCCCTGTGCCTTGCACAGTGTTGGACACAGTGGTTTTTAATGGAACCTGTGACATCGAATCTGTGACATCCAGTGTGTTCCCCCCTGACACATTGTATACTTCAAAGAGTATGTTATCTTTGAGACAGAGCTCATGATTTGACCCAGAACTGCTTCACCTCATCCAACATGCAAACATCCACTTTCAGGGGCCTTCTTAGAGCTCACGTTCCACTGTTGGGTCTGCAACATTGCATGGCCGATGCAATTCCAGGGTCAATGGATAGTAGATGCCTCTCAAAACATCTTGCATGCATGTATTTTCCCCTTGCATATCCCAACAGAGCTGGAGCATGAGAATAGCCCAGAGATCATAATGATTAAAAGAGGTTTACTTTTTAACTATACAAAACTTAAGTTTATTTGACTATCATTAGTTATTTTGTTGTCTGGTTCACATATGAATAAACCTGCTATTTTTCCTGTTGGATCACAGTAGCTAATGTTGCCCATGGGGAAGTAACATGGTCATAAATTAAGCACCAATTCTTTGCTTAGGTCACATGACTTTGTAATGGCAACAGTACAGTGGGCTCTCAGTGGCAATTTCTAATGTTTGAATATGAAGGTTAGGCAGTTGGTACTGACTCTATGCAGCCCAAACTCCAGTCCATATATTCTGTTTTCATTAAGTGACAGGCTTCTGGCTACTGTTCTGCCAATAAAGACTTCAGCAGCTCAGAGCTGTGTAGAAGGATCTAGCATGTGTTTCCTGTTGGAGCAGCAGATTAGCCGTAAGAAGGCTTGAAGTAGGGACAGACAGATGCCGATTGGAAAACAATACTAGATTCCTTAGCTTAACTGATTCTAGGCTCAAGTTTGACAGCATTGTTTTTAGTCAGTCATTAATCAGTCCTCATAGCTTTTCCTTCCTTTGCTGTCAGTGCAGAGCTTTAGAGCTTTAGTTTCGAGTGCTTGCTTTCGTGTGACTCTTAGGGATGCCTCTACCAGTGCCTGTGACCTTTTCTATTCTAGCACTCAATTGTAACTCAGGACCCTGTTCATGGAGAGCAGACTTTCACAACCGGGTTTTTGTCTTTTAATAAAATCTTTCCACCTGGAAAACTTTTTAAAAATGATAAAAATTTGAACTTGACTTATAGACAACTTCAAATAAAATACAATATATGCCGTATGACTTGGTTTGAGGGGACACAGAGACCCCTTTAGGGTCCCATAAAATGATTTTTTTTGTAAAGCTCCAATAAACCTATATATTAAGTCAGATTGTTTTTCAAACAGACCCTTTAAATTTTATGGATAACCATCGAGTTTTTTCATATGATATAGTAAAAATCTATACATACTATGACTTTTCATATTCTAGCCACACAGAGAATATACAGCATCTTAAGTACAAAGGCTTTAAATAGCTGACAAGTTTCTCTTTTATGGCATTTTATATTTCTAGGGGTACATAAACAAGTAGTTCTATTTTTTCTTTTAGCTGAAGTTGTATATAATTTATTATAAAAAGGCACATTGTATGTTGAATTAATTTTTGTTTTTATTTTTCTTATCATTACTACATGCCAAGGCTTTTATATATTCTTTCTGGACTGCCACAATGAATTTTTTGTTATTATTATTATTTTTCATTTGAAGTGTGTGTGTGTGTGTGTGTGCATACATGTGTGTGTGTGTGTATGTGTGCATGCTTGAGTGTACATGAGGTTGACTTTGGAAGTTTTTGTTGATTGCTCTTTATCCACAGATAAAGTGTTTGTGGTAGAAGAGGACATTGGAGTAATTTTAAGCCTGAGAAGGAGTCAGTCCTCAATTACTGGCTTCGAGGATGGAGGAAGAGGTCATGTGCCACAGAACATAAGAAGTTCCTCTAAATCCAGAAAGCAAATGGGGTCTCAATCTTCTACACACAAGGAACCAAATTCTGTCAGTAACTGAATAATCTTGGAAGCAAATTCCTTCTCAGCAACCCAAGCAACACCTGGTGTTTCCCTTCAACATTCCAGGCAAGCCCATCCAGATTTCAGATATGCCAAGCTTCAGGTAAACTGCTAAGTTTGGAATAGAAGTATGCAGGAGAAGGAAAACAATTACAACAAACAGGCAGCACAGCATTTGAGTTTGTATGCGAGTTTGTACATTCTGGGTATCTACGATCCCAAGTCAGTAAGGAAGACTGTCGCGCCCACCTCGACCAGCAAGGAAGCAACGCCCAGACTCTTCTTTAAGCAGTTTATTCAGGAACCTTGAACAATCTTCTCTTGGGGAACGCCGGGGATCGCCAACCCACAGCTTAAAAGCCTTTGGGCGGCCAACCCCAGTATGCCACGTGGAACATGCAGATAGGTCCATGTATGCAGAAGCAAGCCTCATATCCAGCCTTAACCAAATACAGGTGTTGTCTATCATAGAAAGCACCTGCTGTCGGGCTAGCAGAAGGCAAAAGCCAGCACCATCTTAAGGGTGCGGCACTTCGCAGCTCTCTACAGAAGACGTCCCGGTAAGTGGGCTCATTGCACAGGCTAGCAGATTTGTTACGATACTGTTGTCCATCACTTTCCCATGGCAGATAGGAATAACTCAAAGGAAAGGGAAGCCTAGCTATTGCTAGTGTTTTGAAAACAGAGTGTAAGAACTTCCTTGAGCAGGCAAAGGTGATAGGACAGAATGGTGACCACTAGTACCATCAGCTCACTGGTCCGACTGACCATTTACTTGTGTTAATCAGGATGGGACAGGTAGAGAGGGGACCCTAAGCACTCCCACAGCTAAGGTAGCAGATGGTGTGACTTGCTCATAGAATGAATACAGATACTCACTTCAGGAACTGGTCTTCAAAAAAGACAGAACTCGGAGCTCTTAGAAAGGGGAGTACTGCAGTCACATCAGAAATGATGGGCATCTCTTACTCCAGTTATGAATATGTAATGCAAATGGCTAGAATTCATGTGGGGTGCCTGGGTGTAATTCATAAAGAACCAATTTTTTTTCTCAATGAGTCCTCATAGACTGATGATGAAGAAAAGGCTCCCAGTTGAAAGAGATGAATGTCCTTTAAAATCAACATTTTGAATTAAAAATTTGAGAGGTAATTTCATACACAAGTACTTAATGGTATAATATATAATAAGTATATAAGTGATGTAGTTACATTATTCATCCCTTGATCTATTCTCCAACTCCTGACATGTGCCCCTTCTCAAATTCATTAACTTGTTGTCTATACTTAGTATTCAGAAATGAATGTGTATATGTTTTTTTATCATAAAATAGCCTTAAAATTGCTGAGCATTGGTAGCTCATGCCTTTAATCCCAGCACTCGGAAGGCAGAGAGGCAGAGAGGCAGAGAGGCAGAGAGGCAGAGAGGCAGAGAGGCAGAGAGGCAGAGAGGCAGAGAGG